CAAAGCCAAACGTTTTGGGGGCTCATCTCTCAGGTTCCAGTCATGAAAGCTGGGGTGCTCAATGTGGGGTATAATTCTTTTGATCCTCAGAGAGAAGCTCCGGGTTTTCAGTTCCCTCCCCAATGTGCGTCTTCACACCGGGGATGGGGCTCATGGAGAGCTTGTGTCTTGGCCTTTCCTACCCACTTTGATGTGGTTTTCCTCGTTTGCCCAATGTGAAGGGGTCACTCCACCAGTTTTTCGGGGTGTTTTTGTTTTGTTTTGTTTTGTTCAGAGGGAATTGTTCCACAGGTAGCTGTAGATTCAGTGTGTCTGTGGGAAGAAATGGTTCAGGATCTTTTTATGTTGTCATCTTGAACCGGAACCTCCCAGAAACTAAATGTGTTTAGAGTGATATAGATTCTTGCTCAGTTTCACTCTCAATAGCTGTGGCCTTGGGAAAAATACTAAAATGTAGTGGCCTGCATTTTGCTTATGCACAAAATGGGAACAACAGTAACTTCTTTGTAATTCTTGCAAGGAGTCAAGGATACGGTGTTTAAGTCACTTAGCCCCAAACTTGACAAATAGAGGTCCTAGATAAATCATTGTAATTACTTAAGAAAATCAAACACTTTCAAATATTTTTAAGTAATACGTGCAAATCGTATACATTGATATGATATGTTGGATTCCTGAGGATCTTTACTGGCAATATTTTATTAGCCCAATTTGATGTAAAAATATGTTTAGAAAAGGTACAACTGCATGGAAAAGACACACTGGACTGAATGTTTTTCTTGGATTTTCTCGTTGAAAGCTCACTACAATCCTTTAAGACATGGTTACCATTCTCATTTTACAGAGGAGTGAAACTAAGGCCCAGAGAGGTAAGCAGTGCTCCCAAGGTCACACAGCAGGTAAGGAACAGAGCTGGTATTTGAACCTCGGGTGATCTAACTCCAAAGTCTGTGTTCTAAACCACTCTTCTCTCATATCTTCATTTAATTAAACTTTTGACTAAAGTTGATAGGCATTACTCTCAAACCAATGTAATTAAACAAGCTTTTTTTTTTTTTTTTTTTTTTTTTTTTT